AGAAATGAGAAAAAAATGACAATCAAAACCCAACCTAACCTAAATAACCGTTTTTTTCTCTCCGTCCACCCGCCCTCCCCTCACCTAACCACCACACCCCCGCCCAACCACACCACCACTCCCCCCACCACCACCCACCCCGCCCACCAAACAACCCAACGACCCAACAAGACTACAAGAATACCGCCACGAGGTCATGAAGATGAACCAGAGCAAAGAACAGCTCGAACGGCTCGTCTATTCCATGAGGGACGACGTCAGGGAAGCCACGACGCGGGTGGAGGGGCTGACGCAGGAGTTGGGGTCCCTGGAGGCCAACGTCAAGATGCAGGGGAGGCTGATGGAGGAGAGCAACAGCAGGAGGAACACGGTGGGTTGTGAGGGGCGTGGGTGGGGTTGGGTGGGGGTAGGGGGGTTGGTAAGGGTGGGGGTTGGTAAGGGGTGGGGGGGTGGGAAGGAGGTTAGAAATGGGGTGGTGGGAGGGGTGAGGGTGGGTGAGGGGGTGGGTGGGAAGGAGGTTAGAAATGGGGTGAGAGGGTGGGGGGGGGAAGAGGTTAGGTAGGGGTGGGGATGGGGGAATGGGGGTTTCTTAGGGAAGAGGGTTAGAAATAAATGATGGATAAGAAAATAAATGTTTGAAAAATGGAAATGTTAAAAGTAAAAAAAAAAAAAAGATGTAAATAAAGACAACCAAAATAATAAACGTGGGAAAATGGATGTTTCAAAGTGTAAGGGGGAGGCTAGAACTACAAGATACACACGAAAAAGAATATTTTAAAACACGAAAGAACATCTCATAGGTAAAAGAAAACGTAAATAAAGCCCACAATAAAGAATGTTTTCCTCCCTCAGCCGCAACTCGCCCTCCCGAAGACGCCGGTTGAGGACGGCAAGATGGCGGAGGGCGTGCGACTCGCGCTGGAGGGGAAGTGAGTCTCTGTTTTTTTGTAATTATTGTTTATTTGTGTTTAAATGCTTACTTTTAGGGATATCCACACACACGCGCACAGGCATATGCGTACAGGCGCATATACACGCATACGCACACCGATACGCATACGCACGTACACACACACGCACACGCTTACACAAACACACGCGCATACACACACACACGCTTACACAAACACACACGCTTACACAAACACACACACGCTTACACAAACACACACACACGCTTACACAAACACACACGCTTACACAAACACACACACTTACACCACACATTACACAACACACACTTACACAAACACACACGCTTACACACACACACGCTTACACAAACACACACACACGCTTACAAACACACACACGCTTACACAAACACACACGCTTACACAAACACACACACGCTTACACGAACACACACACGCTTACACAAACACACACACGCTTACACAAAAACACACACGCTTACACAAACACACAAACACCTCACGCCATGCACAGTGGTGTTTATGTATATCGTATGTTTGTATGTGCACATGATATGCTGTGTAATTGTGTTTACATTTCAAGATAACATGGCACATTATCAGACGAAACTGTGCAGGATGTTTATTAAATATTTCAACATCTGATTAGATTGACTACAGTTCTTATCATTTCTGGTTTATGCCAGTGTCTTTCACACACCACACACAACACACACACACACACACACACACACACACACACACACACACACACACACACACACACACACACACACAACACACACACACACACACACACACACACACACACACACACACACACACACACACACACACACACACACACACACACATTACTAACAGCCCGAAAGAAGTAACCCAGAATAGTTCGTACATTTTTTGTTCATTGTTTACCTTTATTCAGAAATACATATCATTTGTTCCAAAGATCTTTAAATATTTTGTTCATCATTTGTTCAAAGATAATATGTACCAAATCAATGAAACAATAGATTGTTCTTCATTTTTTTCAGAGATGCAAATAACACAACAAAGAAACAGATATTGTTCAGAATTACAAATAACACAACAAACAGACATTGTTCATCCTTTGTTCAGACATACCAATAACACAACAAAGAATCAGATATTGTTCATCCCTCGTTCAGAGTTACAAATAAATCCCAAAGAAACAGAGTAGATTGTTCATCCCTCGTTCACTGTTCCAGAATGATCCAGATGAACACGCTGATCCAGGACCTGACGCAGAGAATCAACGCAGAAGCCAAAAAGAGAGAGAAAGTCGAAACGGATGTCAATATCAGGTAATTTAAATCGTTTTTTTTATCATTATTATTATTATTATTATTATTATTATTATTATTATTATTATTATTATATTTTCTGCTTATTTATTATTTTTTGTATTTAGTTTTTTTTTAATGGTTTGATTTCTGGTGCTTTATTTTTTTTCGGATGTCAATATCATGTAATCATTTTTTTATCATTATTATTATTATGATATTGTCTGTTTATCTTTTTTGTATTTACTTTTTTAATGGTTTATTTTTGGTGTTTTATTTTTTTCCTAGTTTTTTTTTCTTTCTTTCTTTCACCTCTCCTTTTTAAAAACGTTTTGATTGTTTTTGTCATCATTGTTGTTGTTATAATTATCGTTTGCATTCTCATTGTGATCGTCATTTTATCTTTGCAAACCCCGTTGTTGTTATCATTATTATCAGTACTACTATTGTTATCGTTACTGTCATTATTATCTGTTATCATTGACATCGTTAGTATTACTACCATCATCATTCATTAGCTTCTTTATCATAACCATTATTATCACTATTATTATTATTATTAAAATTTTGGGGAGTTTGGATTAATCGAAATCTGTAAGAAATAATTAAACTTTGTACCTGTTATGATTTTTTAGATTTTGGATTTGATTATTGTGATGAAAGGACTATACTATTTGTTCATCTATTTACCTGCTATATATTTACCTATTTATGTATCCATCTGTCTATCTATCTATCTATCTATATATTTAAGTATCCATGTCTATCTATCTATCTATCTGTCTATATATCTGTTTGTCCATCAACCTGTCTATATATCTGTAAATGTCTATCTATCTATCTATAATTATTTATTTGTCTCTCTATATATTTATCTATCTCCTAAAGATCTGTCCATCTCCTACAGATCTATCTATCTATCTATATATCTCCTACAGATCTATGCATCTACCTATCCACCTATCTTCTACATATCTATATATCTATCTATATCTATTTGCCAATTTATTTATCTGTTTGTTTGCCTACTCCTCCCTCCTCTCTCCTCTCTCTCTCTTGTCCCCTTCCCTCCCTGTCTCTTTCTTCCATCCTCCTCTCTTCCCCCTTTTATCAACCTCCTCCTTTTCACTTCTATCTCATCCCCCCGTTTCCCCTTTTAACTTCCTCGCTACCTCTTATTTCCTTCCCTCTCTTCCTCCCTCTCCATCTATCATTCCTCCCTTCCTTGTAATCTCTCCTATTCTCTCACTTCTCTCTCTTTCTACTTCTACATCTTCCTTTCCTCTCCTTCATACCTTCTCATTATCTTCTTTCCTCTCATTCCTGTAAAACCCGTGTTTCCCCTCTTCCCTCTCTCTCTCTTCCACCTTTCTTTCACCCTCCTCCCTCTCTCTCTCACACCCCTTTCTTTAACCCTCTCCCTCTCACATGTCATTTTCCCTCTTTTCTCTCCCTTCCCTCTTTCCCACCTTTCTTTCACGCTCCTCCCTCTCACCTACCCCTTTCCCTCTTCTCTCTCTTCCCCCTTCTATCACTCTCCTCCCCCTCTCCTCCTCCTCCTCCCTCTCCTTCCTTCTCTCACCCTCCTCCTCTCCCTTTTTTCTCTCTCCCATCTTTCATCCTCCCCCTCTCCTTCCCCCCCTCTTTCCCGTCCTTCTCTCACCTACCCCCTCCCTCCTTTCTTTCTCCTCCCTCCCCCTCCCCTCTCTCCTCCTTCCTTCTGTCACTCCTTCCCCCCCCTCTCTCTTCTCTCCCACCTTCTCGCACCCTCCTCCCTCTCCTACCCTTTCCCTCCTTTCTTTCATCCTCCTCCCTCTCCCTTCCTTTTCTCTCTCTCCCCCCCTTCTCTCACCCTCTCTCCCTTCCTTCTCTCTCCCCCTCCTCCCTCTCCCTCTCCTCTCACCTACCCTTTCCTCCTTTCTTTCACCCTCCTCCTCTCCCTTCCTTTTCTCACCCTCCTCCCTCTCCCTCTCCCTCCCCCTCCTCCCTCTCTCTCCCCCTTCTCTCACCCTCCTCCCTCTCACCTACCCCTTTCCCTCCTTTCTTTCACCCTCCTCCCTCTCCTTCCTTTTCTCTCTCTCCCTCCTTCCCTCACCCTCTCCACCCCTCTCACCCTCTCCCTCTTCACCCTCCTCCCTCCCCTCCTTAGGATCAACGAGCTCCTCGAGGACTACGGCAGCACGAAGGTCGAGAAGGACAAGGAGATGAGGGAGTTCGACGACAAGATGAAGGAACTCCAGGCAGGATTCAGCGCCAACGAGAAACAGAGGATCCTGATGGAGATCTCGTCGGTGGCGCAGGATCTCAACACCAAGATTGACCAGAAGTGAGGCGAAGGGGGGTTTAATAGGGGGAGGGGAAGGAGGGGGGGAATGGGGGGGAAGGAGGGGGGTAGGGGGAAGTGGGGTGGAAGGAGGGTTGGAAGGAGGGGTGGGGGGAATGGGTGGAAGGAGGGGTAGGGGTTAATAGAAGAGGGGGTGGAGTGGAAATGGGGTAGAAGGAGGGGTGCGGGGAATGGGGTGGGGGGGAAGGAGGAAGTGAGAGAAAGAGAGAGAGAGAGAGAGAGAGAGAGAGGAAGGGAGGTAGAGAAAGAGAGAGAGAGAGAGAGAAAGACAAAAAGAAGAAAAAGAGTACTTGTAAAATGTTTTCTATACACTTTTTTATTATCTTATAATCAATATGAATATTAGTAGCACTGTTATCATAATCATTGCCATCATCATGATTTGCATTATAGGTATTATTATTATTATTATAATTATTAGCATCATAATCATTATAATTATCATTATTATTATTATAATTATTATCGTTATATTATTATTATTATTATTATTATTATTATTATTATTATTATTATTGCCATTCCTATTATTATTGCTCTCCTTATTATCATTGTTATTATTATTATTATCATCATTATTGTTATTATTATTATCATTATCAACACCATTATTATTATTATTATTATTATTATTACCACTACCACTACAACGCTAACTGGAACTACTACTACTACTACTGCTACTATTACTAATACTACTATTACTAATACTACTACTATTATTATTATTACCATTAGTATAACTATTTTTTCTTTCCTTGTTTTTTTCATTATTATTATTTCTATTATTTGCTGCTAATAATACTACAGATATTAAATAATGCTATATATAAATAAAAAAGTAAATAATTATGTGAATAGATAATTGAATATAAACACAAATAAATGGCGTAAGTAAAGAAATGCAGTAATAAATAATAAAATAATGATAGCAATAATTGATCATGTCTTCTAAGATTATAGTTAATATATATTTATTTCGATATATTTATTTCTCAAAACATATAATTACATACATATACGCATGATATTTTTATAATTATATCCTAAGCATAAATAATAAATTGTATTCATGTATATAATGATTTACTTGTATAATAAAATGCTCAATTTGCTACGCGTAATTTTGTTTCAGTCTGATTTGATCTTATTTTCAAATAGATGACAATGCATTATTATCAAAACGTTGATCCCGTTTTTACAAGGATATCCTCCGCATGCATCCGGATTCTAGCGCCATTTTCGTAAGACTTAATGGATTTCAATGCAGTTTTCGTAAGATTATTCGGATTTTCATGTCGTTTTCGTAAGGGTAATCCGATTTCAATGTCGTTTTCATAAAGATAATTCAATGTCAATGGCGTTTTCGTAAGATAATCTGGATTTCCATGTCGTTTTCGTAAGGGCAATCCGATTTCAATGATGTTTTCGTGAGATTACTTGGATTTCTATGTCGTTTTCGTAAGGGAAATCCGATTTCAATGTCCCCTTAGTAAGATTGGTCGCTTTCGTAACCGTTATCGGGTTTCAAAGCAATTACTTGTAGGCCTACGTTTTTTAAGAGAAAAACCGGATTCCAACTTTTTCTTTCCAATATATCCGGGTTCTGACATCGTCTTTTTGATATGAAAGAAGGTTGATTCTATCAGGACCATGGCATCGATTTTAGACCTTATCGTCATACGGACGTAGTCGATTTATAAGATAATCAATATTCTAGAGTAACATTTATATGAATATCTGGATTATGGCGCCGTTTTAGGTACCACTTCATATTTCTAACATCTTTGGACTAAATACGGTGGATTTTGTTCTGTTAGCGGATTCTGGCGCCGTTTTTTGGTAAGCGAAACCGAGATTCAAAGACGTTTTTGTAAGCGTGCCTGGATTCTAGCGTCGTTTTTGTAAACATATCCGGATTCTAACATCGTTATTTGTAAGCACATCCGGATTCTATCGTCGGTTTTGAAAGGGATACCGGATTCTATCGTCGTTTTCGTAAGCAAATAGGAATTATATGACCATTTTTGTAAGCAAATTCGGAATTTACCTTCGCTTCTGTAAACAATACCAGATTCCAACATCGTTTTTTTTTAAAGCAAATCCGGATTCCAACATCGTTTTTGTAAGCATACTCGAATTCCAACATACTTTTTTTTCAAACAGTACCGCAATCTACCATCGTTTTGTAATCACTGGATTCCGACTTTTTTTTTCAAATAGTACCGCAGTCTACCATCGTTTTTGTAACCACCACCGGATTCCAACGTCGTTTTTGTAAGCATATCCGGATTCCAACATCATTTTTTTAAGTACCGCAATACTTCCATCGTTCTTGTAACCACCACCGGATTCTAACATCACTTTTTGTAAGTAGTACCGCAATCTACCATCGTTCTTGTAACCACCATCGGATTCCAGCGTCGTTTTCGCAAGCATATCCGGATTCTCACGCATATCTCCCAAATCCAGGGAAGCCAAACTCCGCGACGACACTGTAAACAAACTCACCGTCATCGAGAAAACATTAACGGAGGAAAACCGAAGGAGAGCCGCGAAGGAAAAGGAACTACAAGAAAGTGTGGATAAACAGATGAAGGAAGCGCAGATGAGAGAGAACGACGGGACGGCAGCGCTCAAGAAACATATGGAGGTAAGATGTGAATAGATTGATAAATGGAGAGAGAGAGAGAGAGAGAGAGAGAGAGAGAGAGAGAGAGAGAGAGAGAGAGAGAGAGAGAGAGAGAGAGAGAGAGAGAGAGAGAGAGAGAGTGAGAGAGAGAGAGAGAGAGAGAGAGAGAGATCAGAGAGAGAGAGAGAGAGAGAGAGAGAGAGAGAGAGAGGAGAGAGATGATATATAATAAATGATAACAAAGCAACAACTACATCAACAATAACAACAACTCACGAATAATTCATATCACCCCTCGCCCCACCCCACAAAAAAACACAACCCTCCTTCCCCTACCTCCTTTCCCTCCTCCTCCACCTTCACCCCTCCACACCAACCACCACACCACCACACCACCACCACCACCACCACCACCACCCACCACCACCACCACCACCACCACCCCACCCACCCTCCCCATCCCACCCCCACCCCACCCCACCCCCACCCCCACCTCGCCACCATTACCTCTCCCTCCTCTCACCTTCACCTTCCTCCTCCTCCTTCTCCCTCCCTCTCCCCACCCCTCGCTCCCTCTCCCTCCCTCCCCTCCCTCCCCTCCCCTCCCTCTCCCTCTCCCTCTCCCTTCCCTTCCCTTCCCTTCCTCCTCCCTCCTTTCCTCCCTCATTCTTCTCTCTCTCTCCCTCCCTCCCCAGCAACACGAAACTCAAGTCCGGAACAAACTCGGCGAGATGACCACCACCATCAACAACCTGGAAGCGGACGTCAAGCAGTACCAGCTGGAGCAGGAGAAGGTCATGGCAGCGGAGATCACGCAGCGGCAGAACGAGAATAAAGTTGGTTTTTCGTTTTTTTTTTTTCAGGTCGTTTGTTTTCTTTTCTTATTTCTTTATTTTGTTTTATTTTATTTTGTGTTTTATTTTTCGTTGTTTTTATTTATTTGTTTCTTTTTCAGTTTTTTTTTTATTTTTGTATTTCATTATGTGTGTTTTTTTTTAGTTTTTTTTTGTTATTTTATTTCAGTATGTTATTTTTATTATTTATACTATTTCTTTGTTGTTTTTTATGGTTATGAGTGTTAAGTATTGTAATGAAGATAATGATAGTAAATTAGTGATGTTGAGTATTAAATAGCAGTAATGATTGTTCATGAATTAAAAATATAAACAATGGGTTAATAGAGGGTTAAATATGGGTATGATTGTATGAAAACCATATGTGTAAATCAATGAATAAATGATTGGGTAAAAATAGAAATGAAAAAAATGCATAGATGACTTAGTAATTAGATATAAAATGAATCAATATCTTCATAGATAAATACAAAGTAAATGATTCACATTAATAAAGAAAAAAAAACAGAAAACAAATAAACAAAATTAATTTATTTGTCAATTTATTTGTTTAAAAACTGACCAATAAACAAACAGGTAAGTTAATGACCTAGATTAAGAGACGAATAATTTCCCCCAGATTCTAGAAGCCAAAATAGACGACCTCGAAGACAGACAGAGGCGGGGCTTAGCGTCCCTCCAGTCAGCTGTTGGCGATGTGGCAGCCAATAAGAACACGGGGAGGAAGTCACCTGATTATGACGAGGTGGGTTGCCAGTTTGGACATTTTTTATTGTTTTTTTTCATTATTTTAGGGCTTTTTGTTAGCATTTTTATATTTTTTTTATTCATTTATATTATTATTTTGTAGATTTTTTGGGCAAATTTCATTTTTTTTTTATTATTTTTATTTTTTATTTTTTATATTATTTTTTTTTTGTTTTCAGGGCACTTGAGTTACGTTTTCTCCCAATTTTCGGGGTCACTCGGCTTATATTTAGTTAGTTTTTAGAATTATTTAGGTTATTTTTTCTAGTTGCATACGTCATCCAGTTAACTTGAGAAATAAAAAATCTAGTTACAAATTTGCTTGTTTTACGTAATAGGTATTTGACAATTTTTCAGTTGCTGGGAAAATGTTTATTTTCACCCTGTGATATTGTTATTAACACCTTTTGGTTATTTTATTATCAGTTGATGATCATTTTCTTGGTTTCACTAGGTCTATAAACAATAGATATTTTATTTTCTAATGTTTGATATTCTCTAATATGAAACCCTGAATATAATCATGCTGTGATGTTTTAAGCCTTCTTTAACTGAATTTAGATGGAAATCCAACTTTTTTTTTCAGATATATACTGCAAATTAATAATTTAGATGAATATAAATTCTAAGTCCTTCACAATAGATTAATTATTTCGTTTCCAGATACACAACAACCTAAAGAATTTACACTTTTTAAACAGCTATCATGTAGACTCTTTAAAACTCATCAAAAATTATTTTATCTGCAATTTAAGACATTAAACAACTTAGTTATGTAAAGCTACTTACACTAGCGTCAAAATTCCTAATATTATTATTATTATTATTTTGTCCTTTGGCATTGAACATTCTACAATTTGAATTCTCTTAATTTCCATCATCGAAAATTCTATTGCCTGTAATCGAAGTAGCATCGAAAAATTGTAAACCTACACTCTAGCATCGAAAAAAACTATTATCTTTAACTTGTTTGATATCTAGCATCGAAAATTCTAGTATTTTTGAACTATATAGGCTATCAGTGGACATCATTTATTCATACTTCAATGAATAATCCGTTGAAATCGTAATAAATAAATAATTAGATAAATAAACAGATAAATGAATGGCTGAACAACAGATTAAAATCACCTACATCTGTCAAAACTGATGTAGTGAATAACGAAAGGATTTTATTTACGCCAGATGGATTTCGGAGCGTCAGATAGTCATCAGGTGAGACGCCTTTTGCCGAGTCAGCTGTGACACGACTCTGCGAATGATTAATTTGAATTTTTTTTATCTCCTCTATCTGACGTAAAAGAAAATCTGGCTCTCTAAAGAATTTGCTCTCTTTCTGTGGATTTTTTTTCTGTCTATATTGCTGGAGGAATTCTATTCTGATTCGCCCTGCTAAGACTGGGTATTTTCGGTTTGCTAAGTCCAAGTCCGAGTCACTAGCACAGACTCGAACGAAGCGAGAAATGCAGTTTCTTTGGATTCATTTTTTTTATTATTCAGAAAGAGATATATGTATATATCTTTATTTAAATAACTAGACAATATACATCGGCTCAAAAATGTTGATATAACAACTCTCGTATGTTTTTTTGTTTTTTTTTTACAGTTTTGTTTTTAAACTTATTACACACATGTTGCACATATGAAAGAACAGTTCATATGTGATTTCTTTCTAGAAATTTTCGCTTTTTCATCCATCGTGCATGACAACAACCATGATTTTTGCTTTATATATAGACGTGAATTTTACTACTTCTTTTGGTAATAAATTTGGCTCAGGGACATGCCATGAATTACGAATATTTATGCCTAATGAATTTTCTCTGTCTGTAAACGTATTTGTTATACAGCATTTCGTACAATGATATTGTGTTCCTTTTTCAGTGCTTGAGATACGATAATTCGTTTTTTTTTAATTTGAGGAAGCAATGACTTAACCTATAACAAATCTTTTTCGAACATTAGAACTTAAGAAAACTAGCTAATCATTCGTCTGGTATTACAATGGATCTGGCAAGTGAGATCTCCCTGCAAATAACGGATTCCAAGCCGGATATTTTCGGTTTTAAGGCGGAAGGTCGCCCTCAGGAACCTATCCAGCGGTCCAAGCGGAATTCTAGGATCTGGGCGAAGTGAGAATCTCCCTTGCGCAATAATGGTTCCAAGCCGATCACTTATGATTAATTTCTTATATTATTATATTTAATTTTATAAAGAATTGAGATAGATCAGATATATAAGAATTTCTCTTAATTATATATTAATCATTCATAATATAAACCGCAATAATCTCATGATATATGAATGGATAACATGATGATTTAATGGCGAATACTTATTATAATATGAATTTATTTAGAATTATTATCGGATGGATATATAATTCATTTATAATTAACCCTATTGGGAAAATTGATATTGATAATTATAAGGAATTATGATTGATAGAGATCTTATTGATTATATTTTATAGAAAAAATTTTATTGAATTTTAAATAGTCTTACATAGATTACGATTATATATTCTTAATTATTATTTTTATTTTCATTTATAAAGATTACATTTCTATATAATATCCATTATTCGATTATTTACGATAAAATTTTATTTTAAGATTGATTATTTATATATTTGAAATTGATTATAAAATTATTATATTTTATAATTTATAAATTTAGAAAGATAGAAATATTAAATCGATTGAAATAAACGATTTAATTATTAGGTTTTTTTTATTTGACATTCGTAGAAATTTTATATTCGGTATTGTTCTGCGGAAGGATCTGGGCGAAGTGAGATCTCCCTTGCCAATAACGGTTCTAAGCCGATATTTCGGTTTAAGGCGGAAGGTCGCTCAGGACCTATCCAGCGTCCAAGCGGATTCCTAGGATCTGGCGAAGTGAGATCTCCCTTGCCAATAATGGTTCCAAGCCGATATTTCGGTTAAAGGCGGGAGGTAGCACAGGACCTGTTCAGCATCCAAGCGGATTCCTAGGATCTGGGCGAAGTGAGATCTCCCTTGCCAATAACGGTTCCAAGCCGATATTTCGGTTTAAGGCGGAAGGTTGCTCAGGACCTATCCAGCGTCCAAGCGGATTCCTAGGATCTGGGCGAAGTGAGATCTCCCTTGCCAATAAATGGTTCCAAGCCGATATTTCGGTTAAAGGCGGGAGGTAGCACAGGACCTGTTCAGCGTCCAAGCGGATTCCTAGGATCTGGGCGAAGTGAGATCTCCCTTGCAATCAACGGTTCTAAGCCGATATTTCGGTTTAAGGCGGAAGGTCGCTCAGGACCTATCCAGCGTCCAAGCGGATTCCTAGGATCTGGGTACGGCAGTGATACCTTGTAAATGTCATCAAGGAAAGACAGATGAAAAAGAATAGAGAAAACGGAAAATAAAAGAGAATGATGTAATTTATTTTTTTTTCTATTTGCTTTATATATTGATATTCATAGATGTGGTTTAAAGCGTCATTTCGTTTAAGCTTTGTGCTTTTTTGTACATCGCTGGCTTAAATAAATAGATAAATGAATGGCTGAACAACACATGAATACTGTGTACGCTTTATGAATATTGAAATATTTACGGTCTTTCTATATGATTTTGCGATCACCTTTTGGCATAAATTCACTGTCGTTATTTTTGTGTACTCCAGTTTGATTAATCTGCTTAATTTGGCGTGTTTCCTTTGATACGATGATTCGTGTGTATATATAATATATATATATATATATATATATATATATATATATATATATATGTGTGTGTGTGTGTGTGTGTGTGTGTGTGTGTGTGTGTGTGTGTGTGTACCGATATTTCTACATTTGATTGAACAACTGTACCTAACCTGAAAAAAATGAATGCTTCTCTGCGCACTCTGCATTTTTTCCTCATAATTGTTGTAATTATTGTTATATTTCATCAGGGAATTACAAACAAAGAATATATTAGTCACATAATTTGATTGACAATAGTATTTTCTATTGAAAGTGATTATGATTAATGATATCAATCTTAACTTTATCATTCGGTTGGTAATAACAATCAGCTGTTTTTTCTAGCCTCGCACAAGCGCTATTCGAGGAGCATCAGCTGAGTCCGTGGCGGAGGTAGGCCTATTTTTTTTTTATATTAGAAGTCTCACTGTATATATATTTATATTTGGGCTATTTCTGCACCGCGTATTCCCATTTTTCTAAGGGAGTGAGAATAAAGAGAAGGAGAAGAGGGACAAGAGAGGGAAGGTGTGGGCTTATTTCTGCGCGCTGGGCTTATTTCTGGCTTATTTTCTAAGGAAGTGAGAATAAAGAGAAGGATAAAAGGACAAGAGAGGGAAGGTGTGGTTATTTCTGCACCGCTTATTTTCTAAGGAAGTGAGAATAAAGAGAAGGAGAAAAGGGACAAGAGAGGGAAGGCGTGGGCGTGAGCGTGGGCGTGAGCGTGGGCGTGGGCGTACCGAGGGGGAAGATGATATACAAAATCGCTTGATCCATTCAGTCAAAAAAAAATCCATTGTAAAAGATCACTGCGAAGAGAGTGATGCAATTGAATGCAATTCCCGACTTGTTTATTTATTTATTTTCGTAGATGTGGCTTCCATTGTCCTTTAATTTAGGCTTTGTTCATATCTCGCATTAATTAAGATGATATACACAGCGGAAAATATCTACGGTCTTTTTCCACCTTTTTTGCAATTAGTTTTGGGCGTGAAGTCCTCGTAATTATTGTCGTGTGCTTCAATTTGATGGTAATTTTCAGTTTAATGACACGTGTTTCCTTTCATATAATAATTTCGCGTATTTTTATACTCATGAATATATTTTTATATCGATATACTCTCTTTCATTAAGGAAATGCAAACACAAAGGGTACATTACTCACATGATTTGATTAACGAACGTCTTTTCTTATTGGAAATGATTGTGATTAATTATATCGATGTCAGCGGTATCGTTCGGTTGATCATAACAAACAGCTGTTTTTTTCTAGCCTCGCTCAAGCGCTTTTCGGGGAACATCAGCTGATACCAAGGAGGAGGTAGGCCTATATTTTATTTAAGAAATCTATTTTATCCCTTTTTTATTTTTTTATTTTTTTACTATTTCTGCACTTATCTCCGCAATTTTAAGAAAGTTGAAATAAAGAGAAGGATAAAAAGGATAAGAGAGGGAAGGCGTGAGGGGGGGGGGATGAAATGATGTAAAAATCACAGGATCAAATAAAAGATCTTTGTGATAAGGTATAAAGATCAAGGTGAAATTATTGTAGATAAAGAGTGAAAAAGGATTATTTATTCTCATTTGACACCCTTTCTATATGAAGTTTTTAGGCAGATAAGGATAAAAAGAAGTTTTAGGTCTGTATCTCCCTCCGCCCAAATAGAAATAATTATGTACGTTTTTTTTTTTTTTTTTTTTTGGGGGGGGGGGGCGTGTCTATAAATCCATAGCAGTCTGTCTATCAGTCAGTCAGAGTACCTGTCAGTTTACCTGTCAATCAATCAGTCTATCTACCTGTCAGTTTACCTGTCAATCAATCAGTCAGTCTATTTTTCTATTTGTATTGAAATGATAGAATGGAAAAATGTATTTCAAGGAGATTCGGTATATATTTTTATTTATGAAATATTTATGAATATTTTACTAATAATCGTAGATGTGGTTTGGTGTGTCGTATTTTTATCGTTGAGCTTTGTGCGTATTTATTGCTTTATCAGCTTTATTAATTTGATATAAAAAGAGCAGACTTTCCTAAATGGATATAAAGAGACTCGCTCATTTTCCATTAGTTTTATGTATAAAATGCCTGTATATGTATATGTATAAAAAAAGTTTGTATAAATTTTTATTTTCTTTCTTTTTTTGTGTGTGTTCGTTTGTGTGTGTGTGTGTGTGTGTGTGTGTGTGTGTGTGTGTGTGTGTGTGTGTGTATGTATTGTTTATTCACTGTCCACAATTCTGACTAATGTATATTTCATAGTGCAAGAACAGAAGAAAATAGGTTTTTATTCACATCGAATGCCTTTGCTTTTCACCAATACCAACAATTAATCATGTTGATATAGAGCAACAGGCTGTATTGCAACAATTAACTAATCAGATCTTCGCCACTGTGATTAGAAATTCCAATCTATTTCTCTATTTCTATTTCTCTCAGATTAGAAATTCGATGTTCAGCTAATACCGAACTCTCGGACAAATTATCGCCATTTGTGATTTAGTTATTCAATTCTATTTCTCTATTTCTCTCAGATTAGAAGTTCAATCTTCAGTTAATACCGATACCTGGTATTGCTTACGAGACGAAACTAATTTTACACTTTACGTATACGACATAGTATAGTTAGAGAATGCTTAATTGTCTTTCTATTAATATATATTTTTTTCTCCGTGAAAATGAATAAAAGAAAAAAATCATAATCATAAGCCAATTTTCATTCTTTATTGGGCTGTTTTTTTCGTCTTTATTATGGTAGTGAAGCGTAAGTAGAGCGAATGAGAATGAGAGTAATAAATGCGTATGTTTCTCTTCATATAAAAATGATATCTTGTTCCTTGCTTCTTGCATGCCTTAAAAAGCGAATACATTATAAACATCTTTCCATCTCGCAATTGACCACTGTTATTTTTTCTTTAATTTTGCAAAAAGAAATGAGAAACTGACATATTTGTTGTTGACGGTTGCCGATTAGCTAAGAACATTCAATAATATTACAAAAATCTAAATTCGGGAACGTAAATTAAATTTTTATTCAGTAACAAATCTTTTTAATTATGATAAACAAGAAATAATTTCACTCTACTTGTTTATTCAAGAATTCGAATTCAGGCAGTCAGCGCGGTTATACACCGAGACTGCAAGAGGTAAGATGCGGTTCAGTTGCATTTTCTGAAGTGGATTCAGCTTTTCCGCTTTGCTTCTTTTGATTTGCGGTTTGACTGTATGGAATTTCAAGGCGAGATGCAAGCTTATGGTGTGTATATATATGTATATACATATATGTATGTATGTATGTATATAGTACATACATGCATATATGATATATGCATATGTATGTATATATATGTATATATATCTATATATATAAGTGGATATATATATATATATATATATATATTATATATATATATATATATATATATATATATATATATATATATATATATATATATATGTGTGTGTGTGTGTATGTATGTATGTGTATTATATATATATATATATATATTATATATATATATATATATATTATATATATATATCCTTCCAAGTGTTTTATGATGCTTTGAGGTTGTCTTCGAATTTCTTTTTGTCGTTATGCAAAACGGTTACCGAGTTTAAACTGAATCTGTGCTTGGTGACAAAATTTTGGTTTTCGTCATGCGCTGAAACACATTTCGACATCTTCCAGACGCAAATCCTTGTTGAAGAAACATTTATTATTCTCTCGACGTGAAGGGTAAGTGAATTTAAACGAATTCTAAAAATCATCAGTTCTTCCATATTTACTCTTTTTTCATTCCGTTTTCTTTCTCATATAGGACAGACTTTGCTATTTCGTATGTTTATTATTGTTCCAGCTTCAAGGAGGCACGCGTGTATGTTTACTTATTTTCATTCTTTTATTAACATTTTCTTATCGACGTTTTTTTACATTTAACAAATCATCCGTCATTCTTTTCTATCTATCTTCCTATTTATTCACCTATATTTATTCCCTTATTGGTCTACCTCATCTACATCTCACTTGTATGTTTATCCACTTATCCATTTCATTATTTTGTCTTCTGTCTATCAGTTTATCCATCTATCCGCTCAATTCTCTTAATTTATGTATATCCGTCTACTCAGCTATCAATCAGCATTGAACACAATTACAAACACAGGATCGTGTAAATAGATGAAAAAGAAAGAAAAAGAAAAAAAAAACGACATGATATTTCGTTTTTCTTTTCTTTGACGAGTTCGAAACATTTCATTCTCCTTATTATGTTTATCTTTTATTTATCTATATCCATCGATAAATTAATTCCATCCTTCTGTATCCATTTATCCATCCGTTTGAATTCTATTTATCCGCTTATCCTTCCGTATTCATTTATCCATTTCCCAACTATTCCTCCTCCTTCTCCCTTTATATTAATCCATTCATTCACCCTCTGTATCCATCTATCCACCTCCCCCCCATCCTCTCCCATCACTATCCATCCTTCCATACACTAACCGACCTCTCTAACACGACTTCTTCCCTCCTTCTCTCCCATCTTCCGCCAACGCCCCTCCGCCCTCACGCCCCTCCCACCTCCCTCCTTTCTTCCGTCCATCTCCCTCCCCATCCCATCCCATCCCATTCCATCCCATCTCCCTCCTATCCCTCCCACCCTCCTCCTCCCTTCCTCTCCCACCCCCCTCTTCTATCCCTCCACCCCCTCCAACCCTTTCACTCCCTCCTCCTCCCACACCCTCCACCCACCTTCCCCCCCTCCCCCCACCCCTCCACCTCCTTTCCACTTCCATCCCTCCCCTCCCCTCCCACCACCCTCCTCCCCTCCCTTCCACCTATCCTCCCACCTCCCTCCCAACCCCCCCCAACTCCCTCCCCCTCCCCCTTCCCCCAACCTCCCTCCCCCTCCCCCCAACCCACCCCACTTCCTATTCCTCCCGCCCGCCCCTCAGATCCAGCGCCTCCAGAGCGAGAACGCCGACGGGATCCGCGAGCAGGTGGCCAAGGACGTGGCGCGGATCGAGGGCCGGCTGGGCACCGTGGAGACGAAGGTGCAGCAGCAGGAGAAGAGGATGGATAACAAGCTGCAGTCGGTGAGTGGAGGGGGTGGGGGGGATGGGTGGGTGGAGGGTGAGGGGGAGGGAAGGGAGAGGGTGGGTGGGAGGGGTGGTGATGGATGTAACGGGGAGGGAGGGGGTGAGTGTGTGTGGGAGGGTGCGTGTGTGCGTTTGTGTGTGTGTGTGTGTGTGTGTGTGTGTGTGTGAGTGTGTGTTTGTTGTGTAGATGGTTGTGCGGGGGGATGAATACAATGCGCGCTTACATGCAGAATTATATATATTTATTCCTACTCAACATCATTCTTCCCCCCCCCCCCCCCAGGCCAAGGCACAAGACAAGGAAGCCAACTCCATCATGGGAGACAAGATGCAGCAGCAGATCGACAACGTCATCTTCAGCCAGGAACGTCTCAAGAAGCAGGTGGACTCCTTGCAGAACAAAGTGCAGGTAAGTTGGGGAGGAGTGTGGGCTGATGGGTAATAAAATGGGAGTGTAGAAAATGATTGAAAGGATAATTAAGAAAATGGGAGCTAGATCTGTCTTTCTCTTTCTCTTTCTTTATCTTTATCTTTCCCTTTCCCTTTCTTTCTCTCCAAGTATCCCCCGCCATCAAATCCTACTTCCTCCTCCTTTTCTTCAAATTAACCCTCATCTTTCTCTTTGATTTCAGCTGTCTCTCCCTCTATTTTTTATGCAAATTAACCTTCGTCTTCCTCTTCAGTTTAAGCCTTTTCTTCCTTTCCCTTTTCTTCAAACTTACCTCTCTCTTCCTCTTCAAATTAAGTGTCTTCTTTTTCTCCCTCTTCATATTAATCCTCCTCCTCCTCCTATTCTTCTAATTGATCTTCCTCTTCCTCTTCAAATTAATCCTTCTCTCCCATCTCTTCTTACCATTAACTCTCTTCTCCCTATCCCTCTTTCTCTTCGAATTAGCCCTCCTCTTCCTTTTCTTCAAATATACCCTCTTCTCCCTCTTCCAGTGAACCCTTCTCTTCCTCTTCCTTTCCTGCAAACTAACCCTCCTCTTCTTTAGATTAACCCTCTCTTCTCTTCAAATTCGCTCTTTTCCCTTCACACTGACCCTCCTCTTTCTCTTTAAATTAACTCCTCTTCCTCTTCATATTGAACTTCTTTTTCTTTTCAACCTAACCCTCCTCTTCCTCTTCCTTAGATTAACCTTCCTCCTCCTCTTTCTCTTCAACTTAACCCTCCTCTTTCTCTTTTTCTTCCCTTTCAAATTGACCCTCCTCTTCCTCTTCAATTTAACCCTCCTTTTTTTTTCCTTTTCAAATCCAACCTCCTCTCCTTCTCCCTCCCCACACTAACCTCCTCCTCTCTTCCCTCCCCTTCTCCTCCTCCCCTTCCTCTCCCTCTTCTTCTTCACACTAATCTCCTCCCTTCTCTCCTCCTCCCTTCTCCCTCCTTTCCCTCCTCACACTAACCTCCACCCCCTCCTCCCCTTCTCCCACTTCTCCCTCCCACATTAACCTCCTCCCTTCCTCTCCCTACACTAACCTCCTCCCCTCCTCTTCCTCTCCTTCCCCTCTCCTCCCCTTCTCCCTCCCACACTAACCTCCTCACACTAACCTCCACCCCCTCCTCTTCCTCTCCTTCTTCCTCCTCCCCTTCATCTCCCTCTTCACCCTCCCCACACTAACCTCCACCCCCTCCTCTCCCTCCTCCCCAGGACACCCCCAGGAGCGTGGCGAACCTCAAGGAGGAGATGGAGGACATGGAGCAGCGTCTGAGCAAGAAAGTGGACCAGGAGAGGAAGGAGCGAATGGACGACGTGGCTGAACTGCGCTCGGATATCGATAAGATCGTTGGAAGGAACGAGAGCGTGGGAACCGTGCCGAGCTTGGTGGTGTCGGGTGTCGGGTCGGGTGGGTTAGGGTGGGTCGGGTTGGTGGTAGGGTGGGTCGGTATGTCGGGTTACTGTTCTTAGTGTGGGTCGTTTTTGTTGTTGTTAATGTTATTACCTCTGGCAAGGTGTCCTTTTCTTTTCTGATATTTGTTTTATTGTTGTTATTCTTATTCTTATTGTTTTTGTTGTTATATATATATATATTTTTAATCAGGAGAAACACATCTATTTACAAATTCACACACATACCACAACCCCCTTCACCCACCCCAAACCCCCAACCCTCTCACCCTAATCCTAATCCTAATCCCTCCTCCTCCTCCCCCCCCACAGGCCGCCTCAACCAAGACGTGGACGAGACGCAGACGGGGATGAAGAAGCTGGCGGAGGCTGTGCACGTCGTCAAGGGCTTCCTGTCCGACAAGATCAAGGAAGAGAAGAAGACGAGGGTGCAGGAGGACTCGCTCCTGAAGAAGGACGTGGAGCGACTCAACACGAAGTACTCGGAGTTGAGCGATAAGATCAGGAGTAGTGCTTAAGGTTCGAGGGGTGGGGATGGGTGGGGGGTAGGGGGTGGGGGAGCGTGAAGGAAGGAAGAAGGAGGGTAGGTAGGAATGGTGATGGTGATGATCATATTGTGGAAGGAAGGAGGAAAGAATGGTGATGGTGATGATGATATCGTGGAAGGAAGAAGGAAGGAAGGAATGATGATGGTGATGATATCGTGGAAGGGACGTAAAAGAAAAAGAGGAAAGAAATGATGATATTGTGGAAAGGGCGTAAAAGAAAGGAAGAAGGAAGGAATGATGATGATGAGGATTTCGGAAGGGACGTAAAGGAAATAGGAAAGAATGAGGATAATGGTGATGATGATATCGTGGAAGGGACGTCAAAGAAAGGAAGAAGGAAAGAATGATGATAATGATGATGATAATATTGTGGAAGAGCCGTAAAGGAAAGGGAGGAAATAATGAGGATGAGGATGGTCATGATATGATTTGTCTACTTACGAGTAATGAGGAGCTGTTCTGTTTCCGTTTCGTTTTGAATTTTTTTTTTTTTTTTTTTTTTTTTTTTTTTTTTTTTTTTGCTTTGTGTTTATTTATTTGATCGTATGTTTATTTGTCAGCTAAATTTACCATTACGTTGTTTTTCTTTTCTTTTCTTTGTACGATGCATCTAATTCATCATTATCAACTGTTACCGAGGATCTTCAGTTTATTTGATTTTTTTATCGGTTTCAACTTCATTGTGTTTACTGTTGCTGCCCAGTTTTATTTTATTACTTCTTTTTGCAACTTCGATTACAGCTTCTCCGACTGCCACTACTATTTTTTGTATTAATTTCAGTTGTCCCTGTAATTATCCAGTGATTTTGTTTGTTTCGTTATTGTCACAGAAAATTACCCTTGTTATATATACAGACACAGAGAAAATTATTCCTGTTATATATACAGACACATAGAAAATTATCCCTGTTATATATACAGGCACAGAGAAAATTATCCCTGTTATATATACATACACAGAAAATTATCCCTGCTATATATATATATAGAGAGAGAGAGAGAGACTGACTAAGTGTCAATAAGGTAATATATATGATTTATAGAGAAAATATCACTTCAAAATAAATGTATTAAAAAGTCACTTAGAAAATTAGCCCTGTTGTATAGATATAGACTGACTATGTGTCAGTAAGGTAGTATATGTGATTTATAGAGAAAATATCACATCAAAAGAAAATGTATTAGAGTATTTTATATAGTTCATTACTGTTGGTTGTTTTTGACAATATAAGGTTCATTATGAATGGAATTTGGGTACGATTTTCGATCTTAAGGTCGCTCCTTGAGTTATGTAGTCTTAGAAGAGGGATATATGATGATTGTTGACATTATTTTCATCACTAAGAATAAATTTTGCAGTTTGTTGCACTTTTTTAAAGATATGACATGAAGTTGTGGAGAGAAAAATCCTGGCACCTGTTTGGTTTCGAATTTGTGTGATTACCCTCTTATACTGAATTAAATTTATTGATAAATGTGTGTGGAAATAACTGCATAATCAGGTTTATGAAAAATGATATATCTACGAATATGTACTGTATATAAATATGCAAACACACGCATGCATACATACATATATATGTTGTTGATTTTTTTTGTTAATTTATTTATGTATACAGTCACACAAAACAAAACACACAGATACCCCTATTTATGAGATAAAACAGAAAAAAATAGAAAAAATAACCAAAACAAGAATCTGTGATAGTCCACGTTCAACGCACAACAGATATAGAAAATGGGTGAAGCTTTTTTCTGCTGGCTACGAAATAAGCTGATTACCTATCATGTATATTCTTGCTACCTGTTCTCTTTTTCTTTGTACTTACTATCGTTTGTATTGTGTTTTATGTTTACCAGTACGAAACATGAACGTGAAGTGACGTCAGTAAGTGATTTAGCTGTTCAAATAAAGATGAAAAGTGGACATTCTCTGCTTCTAGACCTTGATGCTGGCCACGACCGTCTGTGGTCTTTGATGTTTACTCACACACACTCACTCACACACACACACACACACACACACACACACACACACACACACACACACACACACACACACACACACACACACACACACACAACACATATATATATATATAATATATATATATATATATATATATATATGTTTTTTCTCATTATCTTTTCTAAACTTTTACGGGACGCAAAAATCCGTCATGACTCCTTTGCCGCTCCTGAACACCATCGACCATGACTTGATGGTAATGACGATTTACTTGAGAAATTTATGTCCCAAAAGGTTAGCTCTCCTGTCAGCTGTGAAGACTTTCCGAGGGCTACAGGGAGCTGGTCCTTCACGTTCAAGTAGTAACTAACGCTAAAGTAATATTGTTGATCAGGATTATTATCATTATTACTTTTGTATTGTTATTATTATCATTATGTTATTTTTGTTATTATAATAATTATTTTATTGTTATTATCATTATATATTACCATTATTATTGTTATTATTATTACCATTATTATTGTTATTATTATTACCATTATTATAATTATCATTAGTAGTAGTTGTAGTAGTAAGAGCATTGTTATAATTATCATTATTGTTATCATTATTATTGTAAAATTTATTATCATTATCATTTTTATTATCATTTTTACCATTAAAAGTATTTTCTTATATTATAAATGCAGTTGTTGTCATTATCATTATTGCCATCATCAATAATATTATCAGTCTCACTAATATAATTGATATATTGTTGTCATTATTTATACTATCATTATAATTGTTATCTTATTCTTATTGTTATTTAATATCATATTATTAACATTGTGGCTATTATTATTCAAAACATTAAATATAGGTATTAAATGTCAGCTGCTTAAAGAAAAAGAAGAAAAAAACGAGAAAAAGAAAGAAAAAAAAAAAAAAAAAGAAAGAAAGAAAAGAGAAAGAAAGCAACAAAAAGGAAAAAGAAAGAACTAGAAAAAGAAAGCAACAAAAAAGAAAAAGAAACAAAAAGAGAAAAGGCAACAACAAAGGAAAAAGAGGAAAAGAAAAAGAAAGTAACAAAAAGATAAGAAAAAAAAACAAAAAGAGAAAGAAAAAACACGAAAAAACAAAAAACAAAAAAAAACAAAAACGAAAGGAAAAAATCTCTTACTCCAGAATCATTACGGTTGCCAGTTATATATTTTTAATACACTATTGCACGCCCTAAAAGTTGTATGTTTTATTTTTATGATCAAACTAAAAATAAGTCAGGAGCAGTGCAATTTAGTTTAAGGTTTAGGGCAGTTTACTGTCCTTATAGACTAGCAAGAGGGAAAAGAAAATATATGTAATATTAATGATAAAACATAATAATCATAAATAAAAATATGCAAATTACGATGATATTAATACACCAGAGGTATTGCGTATTCCACGAGACCTTTTGTTTTTTATGAATATATATACACACAAAGTTAGGTTTACAGGGTAATAAAAGATTATCCAAAAAGCTGGCCATTTTTTGTACGTACAGTCCTGAAACATCATAAAACGAGGCCGCATAATAAACATAATAAATTTGAGCAAAGTTTTTTAAAGCACTTTCAACGCATAAATACCCTTCACTTGATCTAACCCCCTTACCTAAACCACCATAACCCTTTCCCTCATCAACCCCCTTACCCATTTTCAACTTTCCAACATTAGATAGTTGACGCATAACAACTATCACCTGACATCACCCTTTACTATACCTTCCTATATGACCTAAAATAAATAAATGTGCTATATGACCTTAGATGTCTAGCACATTTATTTGGCTTTTAACCATTAACCATTAACCAGTTCAACCGATTAGAGTTGCCAGCACAGTACACAGTCGACACACGATATATGCATATACAATACAGCACAGTACAGTTCACGACACAGTGTGCAGTATCCGGTACAGTATGTGGGGAGGTATGAATGAGAACGAATATCTTCCACAAATACAAGAGATGGTTCGATTTGAATATATCCTTCGTCAGAAATACAATGTATATCTATGACGAAAGATATATTAACTGAAACCGGTTAAAATACATCTCTTGTATTGTGAAGACATTCGTTCTCATTCATTACCTTTTCTACATTTGTCAACATGAATACGGTTCACGGTACAGCACCTTTAAAGTACAGTGTACTACAGGATAATAAACATTACAGGAAACACTCAGCAGACAGTTAAATAGACAAAACAGCAAAGATTTAATATTAAAAAAAAAAAAGATTCTTAAAATTTCTCAAAGATTTGATATCATTGAAAAAAAACTCTGATTCCTAAAATTTCTCAACATCTCTAATATGTGATTCCTATGTCATTAAAAAAGCAATTTGCAGTTACATTTCAGTAAAGTTATTGGCAGAGCGTAGTGCAAGAATATCATAGTACTAATAAGTATATCTCAGTAAGATTCACTCAGATTCTAAAAGTGTAGAATCATCTGTCTCTTGTGAATCATCTGAGTGAGAGGAGAAACAACATTAATAATACAAAGTGCCACGCCTAAAGGTTGTGAATAATGATGGAAATGGCATAAACACTATGAATATCTCATTCAAAGATGCCTCGATCCACATCTCTTCCCCTTAAAAAATATTAAAAGCATCCTTACTCAGCTCTTTTGATATTTTTATTTTAGTTGTTTCATTTCACCACATAATAAATGTTCGGCAAAGTTCCCACCCATATATCATAGATTAACATAACATATATACTATATATACCCCTATTCTCCCTCTCTAATCTCTCTATTTATAACTATCATCCTAATACTATTATACTTATATACTCTATTATTTTGTCTGTGTGTCGCCTGTTGGTTGCCTTCTCTCTCTTCTATCTATAAAGTCAAATTTAATCTAACTATGGAAGTGGATGGATCCGCTCAATCTAGATACTCATCTACTCATACATCTCTCATCTCTAACCGTTACGCTCCTAAATTCGATTGCGTTGTTGAAT